TGCTGAACCAAACTCCCCTCCCAACCCACTTCCCGAAGCGTGGCTGAGAGATGCCGGGTCGCTGACACCCCAGCTAGTTATCTGCTCCCTGACAGACAGGCAGCAGGAAGCCCGGGGTTCCTGCCTGAGCCCCTTCCCGACACGGGTGGGAAGCCTGCAGGCTCAGCGCCTACCGTCCTGTGTGCAGGCCCCCAGCAGGTTGATGATGTTCTTGTGTTTCCCAATCATCTTCATCATCTCCATTTCAGAGATCAGGTCTGACAGGTCTTTCTCTGTTGCATCCGCTTTATGGACAAGCCAGAGAAGGGAATTGAGACTCGTTTGCTTTGGAAGGGAGGCCGACAGGCGAAAAACTAAGGGAGGGGGATGAAGTGACCACCCAGGGGTCCCTTTGCTCTGGGACTTGCTTCTCTCCTCCCTTTTTCACATCCAAATTTATCCTCCCATCCCTCTTACGAGAGCCGGTGTTGCCATAAGTGGTAATGAGTAGGGCAGAAGCTACGTCGGGAAAATCAGCTGGCAACGGGATCTAGAATAAACCCCTGATGACAACCCAGGTGGATGCCAAGGAACAAAGTGAGATCATAGTGATCTTGGGGTGCAGAATGCCCCCCACTCCCGGACATCCCTAAGCAGGCCATGTAGCGGGTGTGGGCAATGGCCCGAGGCCCACAGTTTGCTTGGAAAGGGAAGGGATTGTTTTTGCAGGGACACAAGCGTCACTTACATTTCAGCATCTTCACAGCCACTTTGGTCACCCGGTTGGGTTTGTCCTTGTCCAGCCCAATGGCCTCCGCCAACACCACCTGCCCAAAGCAGCCCTCTCCCAGGGGTTTGCCTAAAACCAGTCTTTCGGGGAAACAAAGGGTGGTGGTATAAGCCGGAGGTGGTAAAGTTCAAACCTGACAGGACACCCCATTCCTCCCCGCCTCCACGTAGCTCCCCCAACCGAGAGCAGAAGGTAGAAATCATCATTTCTGATGCACCTGGTACACCGTCGCTCCCTCGAAGGTTGGAGCACACACAACTGCCAGCGTTAGAATAACAAGCGGGGGTTCCCCAGAAAGTGGAGAGGGTTACCTGTCCCGAGGCAGCTCCCAGCGAGGGTCTTCGGGAAGCTCGTATTCAGAGACCCCAGCCAGCATGGGGGTCCCGCTGGAGGAGAGACGCGAGGGCCGAACCAGCAGGACCCCAGAGTTCATGGATGCGCTGGAGTCGGCCGACACCTACGGAGAAGCGTGGGGTCACCCTTCCAGCGCGGACGGGGATTCCTCTCATCCCCAGTTAGGGCTTTTCGCCAACGGCAGAGGTATGTACCTGTCATCTGATGCTCCTTCCCCAGACAGAGTGGCAGAAAGGCCAGCGGGGGTCGGAAGACCTAGGTTCTAAAACTGACTTATTTTCCCCACTAGCCTTTCTGGGCTTTGATTTACTCACCTTTCACATGAGCGTTCCAGACTGACATTGTGTATCTTACCATTGCAGTAGCAACTCTATTCTTGTCCGCGTTCTTAGTGAAAACCCTGCCCCGGATTAGGGATTCCTGACTCCCAAAGCTCCTTCCAGAATTAGCCCAGCTCTTAGCGAAGGTGGCCTCCTTTCACACACCTTCACCCTCCGTTCCATTTCTGGGATGAGGGGTGCACAGGAGAGGGAGGGCATCTTGGGACCCAATTCAGGTCCTCTCCCCCACTCTGTACCTTTGCACCTCTATTCTCCTCACTTTTTAATTTTTTTGGCCACGCCTCGTGGCTTGTGGGATCTTAGCTGCCCGACCCGGGATCGAACCCCTTGGCAGTGAAAGCGTGGAGTCCTAACCACTGGACCGCCAGGGGACTCCCCACCTTTGCACCTCTAAGGGGCCCTGGGGGGCAGTTCAAACTCGCAGTACCAGCTGTGCACTCAGCCCAGCTAGAACCGTCTTCCAATCCACATGCCGGGTGAGCAGGTCACCGTGGCTGGGGTAAGATGGGCTCATGGACCAGAACAGCTTGGAGCCTGACTCGGAGCACTTAGGACAGGGCAGTCCCGTGCCCTGGCCCAGAAGCCAGAAACCAAAGTCTGAAGCAGTTGGCTGGGCACCGTGGCAAGGACAGGGCATTAGAGGGTCCCGGGGAAGGCCCCGAGGCACAGGGATGACGCATAGCATGAGGCAGAGTGTGCAAACCCCCCATCTACTTTCTGTTACCTGTCTGCGCAGAGGGATGCTCTTGGCCAGCTTGTGCACGGCCATCTGGCTGTGGAAGTCACTCTTCTTGGTGCCACTCTTCATCTTATAGATGATGACAGACCCCACCATGCAGGAGATGAGGAAGGCCCCCGTGCAATAGATGATGATCTCCAGGTACAGGGGCGAGGTCATCACCGCCGGTCTCTCTTCCAGGGCTGGGTCAGTGCGAACAGGGTGTTAGCGGGCTGGGGGCGGGGCCCGTCCACTAGGTCCCAGATCCATAAGAAACTCAACACCCATCTCCTTTCCTCTGGGAATCTTCAGGGCAGAGAAGAACCAAGCCAGGTTCCAGCTAGGATTGGGGTTCTGGCACTGAGCACACATCAGACGTTCTGTGATCGCTGAGGCTTCCTGATCCTGACTCGTATCCCAAGAGGGATGGACTGTATCTTGCTACCCAAAGCCCATCCTCATGAACTCAGGAGCCCTCCTTGCTCAGCAGGACAGCTGGGCTGGAAGGGTACCTGGTGCCCTGCAAGAGATGGCTGAGAACTCACTTGTGCTAGATGCCTTCCAGAGTGTCCCCATGAAAACTCGGCCCTTCTCTGCAGCGCCTGAGCACTGTGTCCCCCTATCACAGGGGACAGCTGAACTGTCCATCGATCTTTCATCACTGACAGCCCACAAGTACCTTGAGGGCTCAGATGGCACCTCATCCATGTGTGTAGGCCACAGTGCCTGGCATCTGGTGGCACTCACAGCATTGGGACAATGAAGGGGAGGGAAGGAAAGAAGAAAACCAGTGTGTATCCTGACTTCGTCTCTCAGCTTCACCTAACGTCACCTGTGTCAGGTCAGACGTGTAAATATCCACACCCCGCCAAACCACAGGCAAAACTAACTTAATTTCCAAATATGTCTGGACTGCTAAAGATAGAAAATGTAAACTTCTCTTAACTTCTCCTCGCAGGTCTAACTCCTAAAGCTGAAGGACATGGAGGGGGTTGTTTTATTCTCTTCTCCGTTCAGAATCTCGCCCTTCCCATCCCCACAGAAGACCGTGCAGTCTAAGCCCTTTTCCCTCCACACGGAGGCTGGGAGGGTTCACAGAACACACATTCCCCACGAGGGGAGGGTCCCTCTCCCCCCACAGCTCTCTACCCACTCCTCCCCTTTTAAAGACCCCTGCCAGCCACAGGGGCCAGCACCCCGAGGACCTCCCCCGGAGGCCCCAGGCATGACGCCGAAGGAGCCCAAAGGGAACCTCCCGAGGCCTGACGAGGGGACGGCAGTGCTGATAACAAGAAGCGGTTCTGTTTTTCCCTTTCCCCAGCGTCGAGAAACACGGACAGCCAACTGGGAGCACACACGGGACAAAGACAGCGACGAGGAGAAAAACAGAACGCTTCTCTCCCTCCAGCGGGGGTGTTATCAGAGGAGGAGAGAGGGAGAGAGGAGACAAGAGGACAGAGTCTGCAGGAACCAGAGCAGCACAGCGCACAGCCCACGTGCAGGCCCTGCAGAGGCACCAGCCCACCACCCCGAGCAGGCTGCAGGCTCCTGCCTTCCCGGACCAGTGCACACACCTCCCCTCTGGAGAGAGGAGACGTTGGGAGCCAAGGAGGATAAATGGGCACCATCAGGCCCCCCGCGCTGCCTGGGAAAGGACTCGCTCAATGCAGCTCCAGTCCACTGTCTGGGTCTGGGTGGAACCTCGCTCACTCTGAGGTGGCAGCATGGGAGGACCGAGGGCATGATCCTTGCCAAGAGCAAGCCCCTCGTTCCAGGGTGCCTACGTTCAGTTACGGGGGAGCGGGCCTTTCTGAGACTTTTGGGGGTTGCTGGCGATAAAGGATCAGACAAGCTAAGGAAGGCCGCCGGACCCAAGGAGGGAAGGAGCCTGCCCTGGAGGAGAGGCCAGCTGCAGGTTAAATCCAGATCCCACGCATGCATCACACTGGCCCAGGGGAGAGCCAGAGGCAGGCACACAGGTGGGACACCTCCGCGTTCCTGCATCACGAGGAAAGCACCTGTGTGAGCCAAGAGGATTTGACCTGCAGAGGCAGACAAATTGCTGGAGCCACCTGCTGGCCCTCGGAGGCCGGCTCTGTGTCTCCCCTAGCCCTGCGATGCATGCTCCCCCCGTGCCCATGGCGAGGGCAGGACATCGAGAGGAGAAGTGCAGTGTATACCTTCCAGAACGGTCAACCATGCAGAGTGATGGGAGAGTCCGATAGAGTTACCCGCCAAGCATGTATACTCCCCCGCGTCCTCAAAGGAGACATTCCTTAAGTGCAGCACCTCCATCTCTTTGTCGGTGGTATTAACTCCGGCCGTCTAGAAGAGACAACGGAAGCAACATGGACAAGCCCGGGACCTGAGACCTCTCAGAGGTGCAGAGGGAGGGAGGGAGGGAGGAAGAGGAAAAGGAAAAAACAAAAACAAAACCAAAAAAACCAGAGGAAGAAATGCTCCCCAGCGTCTCCTTTGCAACAAGGAACAAACAAAAACCACCAGGCAGCGCGAGACCTGTTAGAAGAAGAGAGTGGGACCCTGAGGAGGAACTCGGCAGACCTGAGACGACACGAATGGCTGGTTACACCCGTCACCAGACGCTGGCAGCCCTGGCCCGGCCCGGCATGCGGCGGCGAGCGCATGGAGAAATGGGGCCCGGAGCGTGGGGGGCTGTTTGGTTTCCAGAGGGCACACACAGGAGGGATGGAGAGGGCGGCAGCCACACACGCACACACGCCCGTGGACGCTGGTCCACTCTTCTCTCCATCACTCAGACCCTCCGTCTGCATGACCAGCCGGGACGCACCCCACACACAGCTAAGGAACACACACAAGGCACAGAGGGGGCGACACCAACACAGAACCAAACCAAACCAGCCTCCCAAGGCCGGGTATTTTTCCATGGCTCCGGGCACTAGAAACACAGCAGGGTAACAGGGGGATTGGGGCGCTGGCCTCCCCACCTGCCCCAACAGCTCAGGGCCTCAATCGAATTCCCAGCACAGGGGTCCCTCCAGCTCCCCATTACCTTTTGCCACAGGTCTGGTGACTGTGAGCCACACAGACTGGTTAGCTTCACCAATATAATTGGAAACCTTACACACATACTCCCCGCTCTGGGCCTCTGTCACATTGAACAGGGTCAGCACCTCCGCATCCGAGCTATTTATCCCCGAATGCTGGAACAGACCAACGACACACCATCAGTTGGGCCAACGCTGAGATGTGGCTGTATTTTGCTCCCATGCAGGCCCAGGAGCTAAGGCAAAGGGAGGCTGAAGTGAGACTTGCCATCTTTCCCTTGTTAGGACAGCACAAGTGGACTTTGAAACTCCAGAGCAGTTGACCGAAAAATAAACTAAAGAAAAAAATCACTGCCCCCAAGCAAACGTTCTGTTTGTGTTAAACCCCCTCCTCCAGGACGAGGGCAGGGACTGTGAATGGAGAGGGCGGCCAAGGCCAAGGCCAAGGCCAAGGCCAAGGCCAAGGCCACGGGCCCGCTTCCTACATGGCAGTTTCAGCACCCGAGGTGAAGAGTGGGGTGGCCGGTAAATCTCTGGGACGGCCAAGCCCAGGAGGATGAGGTCTAATGCTGGGACCAGGAGGGAAACCACTTTCCCAGCTTCTGGTGACTTCCTGTTGCAAGATCCACTGGAGAATTAGGCAATTAGCTTCCCTGGATTAATGGAGCATTCAGGGACAATCAAAGTCTGGGAGTGGGAGGAAAAAGGAAGAAAATGCCAATTACTCCTGAAACCGCTGAGGACTGACCTGTGGCCTTTGCTCTTCCAACCCTACCTAAGCCGTGCCTGTCATTCAGCCCACGTGCCAGAAAGACCGTGACTTGGGAACCAGGGCAGAGACTGGGTGATGCTGCCTAGAAAGGCTGTGGTCATGGGCAATGGAAAAGCAGGAAT